CAGAGCAGAGCAGAGCAGAGCAGAGCAGAGCAGAGCAGAGCAGAGCAGAGCAGAGCAGAGCAGAGCAGAGCAGAGCAGAGCAGAGCAGAGCAGAGCAGAGCAGAGCAGAGCAGGCAGAGCAGAGCAGAGCAGAGCAGAGCAGAGCAGAGCAGAGCAGAGCAGAGCAGAGCAGAGCAGAGCAGAGCAGAGCAGAGCAGAGCAGAGCAGAGCAGAGCAGAGCAGAGCAGAGCAGAGCAGAGCAGAGCAGAGCAGAGCAGAGCAGAGCAGAGCAGAGCAGAGCAGAGCAGAGCAGAGCAGAGCAGAGCAGAGCAGAGCAGAGCAAGCAGAGCAGAGCAGAGCAGAGCAGAGCAGAGCAGAGCAGAGCAGAGCAGAGCAGAGCAGGCAGAGCAGAGCAGAGCAGAGCAGAGCAGAGCAGAGCAGAGCAGAGCAGAGCAGAGCAGAGCAGAGCAGAGCAGAGCAGAGCAGAGCAGAGCAGAGCAGAGCAGAGCAGAGCAGAGCAGAGCAGAGCAGAGCAGAGCAGAGCAGAGCAGAGCAGAGCAGAGCAGAGCAGAGCAGAGCAGAGCAGAGCAGAGCAGAGCAGAGCAGAGCAGAGCAGAGCAGAGCAGAGCAGAGCAGAGCAGAGCAGAGCAGAGCAGAGCAGAGCAGAGCAGAGCAGAGCAGAGCAGAGCAGAGCAGAGCAGAGCAGAGCAGAGCAGAGCAGAGGAGAGCAGAGCAGAGCAGAGCAGAGCAGAAGCAGAGCAGGCAGAGCAGAGCAGAGCAGAGCAGAGCAGAGCAGAGCAGAGCAGAGCAGAGCAGAGCAGAGCAGAGCAGAGCAGAGCAGAGCAGAGCAGAGCAGAGCAGAGCAGAGCAGAGCAGAGCAGAGCAGAGCAGAGCAGAGCAGAGCAGAGCAGAGCAGAGCAGAGCAGAGCAGAGCAGAGCAGAGCAGAGCAGAGCAGAGCAGAGCAGAGCAGAGCAGAGCAGAGCAGAGCAGAGCAGAGCAGAGCAGAGCAGAGCAGAGCAGAGCAGGCAGAGCAGAGCAGAGCAGAGCAGAGCAGAGCAGAGCAGAGCAGAGCAGAGCAGAGCAGAGCAGAGCAGAGCAGAGCAGAGCAGAGCAGAGCAGAGCAGAGCAGAGCAGAGCAGAGCAGAGCAGAGCAGAGCAGAGCAGAGCAGAGCAGAGCAGAGCAGAGCAGAGCAGAGCAGAGCAGAGCAGAGCAGAGCAGAGCAGAGCAGAGCAGAGCAGAGCAGAGCAGAGCAGAGCAGAGCAGAGCAGAGCAGAGCAGAGCAGAGCAGAGCAGAGCAGAGCAGAGCAGAGCAGAGCAGAGCAGAGCAGAGCAGAGCAGAGCAGAGCAGAGCAGAGCAGAGCAGAGCAGAGCAGAGCAGAGCAGAGCAGAGCAGAGCAGAGCAGAGCAGAGCAGAGCAGAGCAGAGCAGAGCAGAGCAGAGCAGAGCAGAGCAGAGCAGAGCAGAGCAGAGCAGAGCAGAGCAGAGCAGAGCAGAGCAGAGCAGAGCAGAGCAGAGCAGAGCAGAGCAGAGCAGAGCAGAGCAGAGCAGAGCAGAGCAGAGCAGAGCAGAGCAGAGCAGAGCAGAGCAGAGCAGAGCAGCAGGGCACACACCAGATGAGGTTGGTCCAGAGGGGCAGGTGGGATGGCGGGCAGTGGGTGAGAGCAGTGCGGGATGCGGCCCAGAAGCAGAGCCCCACGCCCACGCAGATACATTGAGTTGAACGGACGAGCAGGTGGGGAGGGGGACAAGAAACAGGTACATGGAAGAGCACAGCACAAGCACGCACCAGAAAATGTTGGTCCAGAGGGGCAGGTTGGAGGGAGGGCAGTCGGACAGGGCAGTGGGCGAGGCGGTCCAGAAGCAGAGCCCCATGCCCACGGAGATGCCGAATCCGATCTGCAGGGACGTGAATATGGCTGCTGCCACTCGTGCCGTGCCTGTCACTTGGGTGCGTGCTACCAACTCGTTCACCCCAAAGGTGAGTGTGACACCTGGGAAAAAAGGGGGCGAGAGCTATTGAGGCGTCACAACGATGGCAAGAAAGAAGGGCAGCAGGATGGGTGAAGGGCACGAGGGTGTGCGCATAGAAGAAGGGTGGGCAGGTAGAGGGTGAAGGAGGGCGTGGGAAAGACCAATTGGGAAGTGCGGCCCACCTGGGAGGAACCAGACGAGGGCGCCGAAGAGAGAGGCGAAGATGCAGATGCGGCCGCTGAGCAGCGTGGATGCGAGGAGATTGGCGGTGAAGGCTGCTAGCACTGACACGAGGAACTCGAGGATAGACGTCACTGCCTGGTGGCGTGGGATGGGGGCGACACGGGAGAAGGAGACCAGGTTTGACGTGCCTCAAATCTGGCTGGTTAAGGGGATGAGAAACGCTTGTGCCTGGCAGGTGGGGTGGAAGAAGTGGAGGGGAGGGGGACGCATTGGTGCTGGTGAGGCAAGGTGAGAGGGTGAGTGCGCGAGCGAAACGGGACGCATGAGAAGGATACTGAATGGCGTAGGAGTGAGAGGGCAATGAGTGTATACCTGCGAGTTGGAGATGGCCCAATATTCCAAGGCTCCTCCCAGCAAGCCCAGCACGCCCGCCACCAGCCCGTCCCACATGTTGCCTGCCAGGCAGAAGAAGGGGGGCCAGGGGGGGAGGGGATGATGCCACGTTGAGAAGCTGGGGCGTGCAAGGATACCCTGTAGACAGCACAGCCTATGCATGGGAGGAGGTGCATGGGCGCATGGGGAGCAAGGGGCCACCCAGCACAGCACAGCAAGGGATGTACGCCACGCGGTGTGCATGAGAAGCGCACAAAGGTGCAAGGAGGTGAATGGAAGGTGCATGGAAGGTGCATGGAAGGTGCAGAAAGGTGCAAGGAAGGTGCACGAGCGCCATACCGCCAAAGAAGAGCACGGCAGCACTGGCAGACATGAGCGCCATGGCGAGCAGGTGCATGGGCGGGGAGAAGGTGGGCGGGGCGTTGGCGATGGCTCGCAGCTGCCAGTAGGCCGCCATGAGGTTGTGCGCCTCCCTCAACCCCACACTGCGCGCCAATTCATCTACTCGCCCCAGCTTGTCCAGATCCATGTCAGGGGAGACGGAGAGCATGTGCGTGCGCTGCCTGGGAGTGCAAGGGGTGAGGAGGGGTGAACAAGATGCGGAGGGGTGTGTTGGCTACAGCTGGGAGCTGCCATTACGCGGCCATGAGGTTGTGCGCCTCCCTCAGCTCCACACTGCGCGCTAGCTCGTCCACGCGGCCTAGTTTATCCAGATCCATGTCCGGGGAGACGGACAGCATGTGCGTGCGCTGCGCGGGGATGCGGAGGGGTGATGAGGGGTGGGAGAGGGAGAGTCTGTACATGTAGCCAGCTCATGCTTGCGCCCCAGCTTGTCCGGAACCATGCCGGGGAGGACACGGACGGCGTTTCCGAGGCCCCTTAAAAATCGTCCTGGGGAACAGCGACAGCATGTTCGCGCAGCCTGAGGGTGCAGGAGGCGAGTGGAGGAGCGTGTAGAGGTGCAGAAGGATGCAAGGGCTTGGCGTGGAGGGCTGAGAGATGGTGAGGGAGCAGCGAGGTGGAAGGGTAACACATGCACAGACGTCGCACAGCTGGTACGCGTACATACATGAAACTCCACCCAAACCGCAGCACCACATTTGTACCGCATCTCACCACGCAGTATCGTCTTTGACCACGCATCTCACCGCACGCTCATACGCTGCACTGCGGAATGAGGTCCGGCAGCACAGCTGGTTCCCGTAGATACATCATACATGTAACCCCACCCACAGCACCACACATGCACCACACCTTGCACCGCATCTCACCCAGCAGTATCGTCCCCAACCACGCGGTTGAATTGAATGCCAGCAGGATGAGGTCAGGCAGCACCGCCACACTCACGTCCACGCCCAGCATGCACACAGATCCCACCACGCCCACCACATTGCACCACATCTCACCCAGCAGTATCGTCCCCGACCACGCGGTTGAAGGCGAGCAAAATCAAATCTGGCAGCACCGCCACGCTCACATCCACGCCCAGCCGCCGCCCGGCACGCTCGATCAGGAACTCCGTGCGGGCGGCAGAACTGCCGTACGCGTGTAGCGCCACCGCCAACCGCATCAGAAACCGCTGCACGCGCGTCGGGCCGTCATCGCCGCCCGCTGCCGCCCCGCCTGCGTTGCCTGAGTTGCCGCTGCCGCCGCCGCCCCTGCTGCCGCCCGCCGCGGCCGCCCCTGCGCCTGCCTCGCGGAAGGCCGCGGCTGCTGCGCCGAAACTGGCGCTGTGCGGCGCGGCGGCTGGCGCGGGGCCGCTGCCCGCGGAGGCCTCGCGGAGCACGCTCACTGGGGAAGGGGGGAGGCGGGGGGAAAGAATAGGTAGGGGAAGCGATGAGGGGGAAGCGATAGGATGGGGTGCTGAGGATGTGACGCAGAGAGGGGAGGTCGCGCGGAACAAGGGAGGAAGGACGGGGAAGGAGAGGTTAAGCAACTGGGAGGTACAAGCTGGGGGACGAGGCGGGCACGGGAACACTCGCTCCTGAGCGCGAGCGCGTGAGCTCGATTCTAGAATGGATACGGGGGAAGAACGATGCTCACAGACTTCTTGCTCCGTCCACTTGCCCTTCTGACCGCTCTGCTGCGCGCCCTGCTGCGCCTTGGGCTGCGCGCTGAGCGGAATACCGCCATCCTCTTCCCCCTCATTGTCAATATCTGCCGCCACAGTCGCCGTCGCATGGATGTCTGTTGAGCCCCCGATACAAGCACATGCAAACGCCACAGGACAACGGCAGAACGCGCCCGCATTAGGAGAGAAGCGTTACCGAGCGCTCCGCGGTGACGTGAATCCACACGTGCCACGAGTACTAGACACATACCAGCTGTGATACGAGGCTCATTTCCGCAGCGCGATACTATCCAACGGTGTTTCTACAGCGACAAACAATGACGCTCACATGGCGAGTCCCGCTCCTTCCGCCCACCTTCCACTTGTGAAAAGATCGTTCCCGGAGGTTCGCCATTGTTGTGGGGGCGATGGCGGTGCTCGTGGACCGTGGCCTGCACCGTGGATAGGATCTTCTGCCGCAGATCCATTCACGTGGCGGTCGATCAATCACTAGTGAAAGATGTTTCTAAGCAAGATCGGACTAACGACCGTCAATGGCGCATGGGTTTGGATGAAAGTGGAGTGGGCAGGAATGTGGTAGTAGTGGCGGAGCCACATGGATGGATATAGGAGCACGTGGGGAAATTCAAGGGTGACGGAATCTCCCACGTGGGAGGGAATGGCTCTGGCAGTGACTGATAAGAGGCGCTCACTGAAAGTCAAGATGGAAGGGTGCCGTACTGGCGGGATTTCGGTTTCGATCGGCATACCACGGTATCGTTTGGTTAAGAGCGATAGTAGCAGATTTGTGGAGTGGAAGCTTGCTGAACTGCTTGTAAGGAACAGCGGATGGAAGCTGGGAGCCTGACGAAGTATTCACGAATGTGGAAATTGCTGTTACCAAACCCATGTTGCAGAGTCGCATCTCGCACTGAGCGTGTAACCAAACTCCGAGTTCTCCACCGTAGCCAGTTTCGCTTCCTTGTCATGACAATCCCAAGGTGCGTTTCCACTTTCGCCAGTGACAACCTCAAGGTTCACTTTGAAGGTTGACCATAAATCTGCTGCCATTTCATGTCCTCTCCATGATGCATCCCAACCATTCACATACAATGAGCATGATCAGCAGCCATCTGAGACAGTCAGCTGCACCCCGCGATCGCTGATTACGAGCCATTGCTAACCTGACGATATTTAGATCCTGATCGCGACCTGCTGTGGTCCCATGGCGCTCACGCGGGCAGCGCACGCGTGTCAGGCACGAGCGGCTGCTGCGTGCGCACGCACATCTGATTCGCCCTTGAATAGAACATCCGTTTCGTTTGCCCCCTCCCCAGCAATCCCATTGCATGGTCCCTGGGCGGCAATCAGCGTCGCGAGAAGCATGGCTGCGTACGGGGGAGATGCGCGTCGAGGGATCAGAATTTGGGGCGGGAGCGTGGATGGACTGTTTTTCGCGACGCATGCGACGAGGCGTGCGACGTGGCATGGCAGGCAACGAGGACGTGCCGCCATTGTAGCCTGGAAGCAACCACCACCCCCTGCCTCCTCCTCCTCCTCCTCCTCCTCCTCCTCCTCCTCCTCCTCCTCCTCCTCCTCCTCCTCCTCCTCCTCCTCCTCCTCCTCCTCCTCCCCCACCCCCTCTCCTTCTCCCTTTCCCGCTCCCTCCCCTCCCTCCGCTCCACCCCCCGCCCAAACCGCCTCTCCGCCTCCCCCCACAGCAGCGCGGGGTCCCCCTCCGCCCCTGCGCGGGATGTACCCCGCGGGCGCGCACCATGCGGAGGGGTACATTAAGGTCTCCGCCATTCACTCGCTTTACTACCGCGTCTACGGCAACCCAGCCGGCAAGCCAGCCCTGTGTCAGTGGCCCCTCTTGCCCTCCCCTTCCTTTTAAGTCCAGAGTCTGAATTCTCTCTTTCGCTTCTCCCTTCCCCACTTCGCCTCTTTCTCTCTTCTCTTCTCCCCCATCCTCCCCTCTCCTCTCTCCCTCACATGTTGCACAGTCACACCACTCCGCCCGCCTTCCTCTCCCTCACTCATCTCTATCCCTCCACCCCAACGGTGGACCACACAAAACCCCTCGCCTTCGGCTTCTCCCCGTCTCCCCATCACTTCCCTTCCCTCCCACCAGTTCTGCACGGGGGACCAGGGGCGGGGTGTTGGCCCAACCACGCGCGCTTCTTCGACCCGGCAGCGTACCGCATCGTGCTGTGCGACCAGCGCGGGGCAGGCAAATCCACTCCTGCGGGATGCGTGGTGGACAACCGCACAGAGCTGCTGGTGGGGGACATGGAGGCAGTCAGAGAGCACCTCAAGGTGGACAGGTAGGTGAGGGTGGGGTGGCCTTTCACGTGACTTCAACGGTCCACCCCTGCAGGGTGCGTGGTGGACAACCGCACGGAGCTGCTCGTGGGGGGACTTAGGCGATCAGAGAGCACCACAACGTGGACAGGTGAGAGCCGCCTGGCGCCTGCTGCTTGTGCTTTGTGTGGCACCTGGGGCTGTACCTCACTCCTCGATTCTCACCCCATCTCTCTCACCCCCTCACTCTCGCCCCCTCCACCGCGCCCTCCCCCTGTGCGGCCACACCAGGTGGGCGGTGGTGCTGGGCGGCAGCTGGGGCACAACACTAGCGCTGGCATACGCACAGGCGCACCCGGGGAGAGTGGCAGGCATGGTGCTGCGGGGGGTGTGCCTGCTGCGGCGCCGAGAAATCGACTGGTTCTATCGTCCGGTAAGGGCTGCTATCATCATGTGCCCTACCTGGTTCTCCAATGCATTCGCTCCTTCTAGAAGATCACCAAGATCAGTATTCATTCCAGCAAGGTGACTTTTGAGTCGACTCAAAAGTCACCTCGTTACAATGGCACACGCCTCCTTTAGAAGATTGCCGAGATCAGTATTCATTCCAGAATTTTCTGGTGTGTGGAGGAAATATGTTGATGTTTGCCCCACTGCTCACTGCACTCTTCCCCCACCGCACATGCTTTTCCAACCTTTCGCCCTGGCAGGGCGGGGCAGAGGCACTCTTCCCATTCGCGTGGCGGGACCTCATGGCCGCCCTGCCTGCCCCTGCTCCCACACACACGGAAGGCGACGCGGATGATGGCAGTGGGGTTGGAGATGGGAATGGAACCGGGGATCGGAGTGTGGTGGGTGCATTCTACGAGAGGCTTATGAGCACCGATCCAGCTGCGAGAGACAGTGCTGTGAGTCATGGCAGGGCTAACACACCTCACATCATGGCAGGGCTAACACACCTCACATCATGGCAGGGCTAACACACCTCACATCATGGCAGGGCTAACACACCTCACATCATGTCGCTTTGTCCATTCCTGGCCTAGCCCTGCTCGCCACCTCCTTATGCTGCCTAGTTTTGAGGCGCCTCAAAACTAGACAGTGCTGTGAGTCCACGCACACACCTCACATCATGTCGCATTATCCATACCTGGCCTAGCCCTGCTCACCACCTCCTTATGCTGCCTCCCGCTGTGGTTCATGGCAGTGCGGGGCGCGGCAATGAAACCAGGTGAAGCATGGGCTGCGTGCCCGTAACGTTGTCCCACCATCTTCACATGCATGCCATCATCATCTATGTCCCCGCCTCCCTGCCACCTCACCCCCCAGGCGAGGGCATGGATGCGAGGGCATGGGAGTCTCTCAGCCACTTTCCCAGCCCCTCCGCCCCTGCTGCCCTTAGAGTCGACTCAGGAGTTTGCTGCCATCACCATCCCACGTCTGCACCTCCCTGCCAACTCCCCCCCCCGCCCCCTCCCCCCCCACCAGGCGAGGGCATGGATGTGGTGGGAGATGTCTCTCAGCCACTTCCCCAGCCCCTCCCTGTCAACCTCTTCCCCCTCCACCCCTCCAGGCGAGGGCATGGATGCGCTGGGAGATGTCGCTCAGCCACTTCCCCAGCGCCTCCGCCCCTGCTGCTCTGCTCGCCTGGGATGGTTCCGCCTACTCCTTCCCCCCTTCGCCCCTCTCCCCTCCCCCTCCCCCCTCCCCTTCATCTCCGCCCTTGTCAGCGCCCCTGTCTTCCTCTTCCTCCCCCTCCACCCCCACATCTGCCTCATCCTCCTCCTCCTCCTCCTCCCCAGCCTCCCCCTCTAGTTCTGATCCTCCTCAGGAAACCACAACAGCACCATCAGCGGCAGCAGCAGCACCAGCCCCACCAGCATCAGCACCAGAAGCAGCGGCCGCAGAACCAGCACCAGCACCAACAGCACACGCAACTGCACAGACAGTAGCAGCAGCAGAGGAGAAAGAAGGGGCATCAAAGGATGGGGAGAGGATTGAGGGAACGAGAGACGCAGGAGGGAAGGACTTAATGGGTGGGCCGCACATATCGGGATCAGTGGCCCAGGCACGCATTGAGTGCCACTACTTTGTGAGTTGCTGCACCTGGCACGATTCACGCCTCCGTTCTCTCTCTGTGACACTCCCCTCTACATTCATGCAGTCAGTCACAATAACATACTGTTTTCATGACTATAAGTATGTCTGTCACAGCATGACCTCTCCACTGAAAGATTAAACCTCGTTCGAACCATGTGTTTGTCTCCGAGAGCAGCATCACGATGGCTTCCTGACTGACAATCAGCTGCTGCGCAGCATCGATGCCATCAGGCACATCCCCACCGTCATTGTGCACGGCCGATATGACTTTGTCTGCCCCCTCGTTGTAAGCCTCCTCACTACAACTGTTGCATTTGCTTTTACTCACTTGAGGATGATCAGTGCCAAAAAAAACCTATATTAATATCTCTTGTTTGTTGCCGTGTTTTGTGCAGAACGCCATTGACCTTCATCATGCATGGCCAGAAGCCCAGCTTCGAGTTGGTACGTGTGTTGTTGGATGTTTTCTCACATTCATTTTCAGTCCACCTCAACGTTCTGCTGTCATGATATGTTTATTTACTCTTTTTTTTTTTTTTTTTTTTTTTCCCTCACTGTCCCCAACATCAGTCCCCAATGCAGGTCATTCCATGTACGAGCCAGGAATCACACATGAACTTATTGTAGCCTCAGACCACTTTAGGGACGCCTAAATGCTGCATCTTGTATTATTTTTCGTAGCGCACCATTTTTTTGCGGTTCCAATTTGTGGTCATGTTGTTCGACGTCTCCGATTGGTTGGAAATCGTGTTTCATGCACCTGTCGACACCCATAACAACGGAGGTTCAGGGTTTGCATCATCAGCCCTCCCTAAACAGCCCCGTGCCTCTCCCCAAATTCTCCCCAAACCTACCACACAAGGCGGGGCAATGTTTTTGCCTTGTGCTGCGTAGTTGCTTCAGCTTCGCAAACCTTTTCATAAGCCTAGCTGCCTAGAGATTTTCCGGCGCTCTCCTGTGCCGTAATCGCTGTTACTGCTTCCGTCCTCGTGGTTTCCGCGTGTGCGCCTGTTTTTAGCCTCTGGTGGGCGGTGGAGAAAGGCACCATTGCCGCCGCAAGCGACAGTCGCGTCACTGGAAGCGGTGCTTGCATCTCCAATTTCAACCTTTTATACCGCTAAGTCGGCGCGCGAGCGCGCATCAATCCCCATGGGGTCCGATCCAGGTACGGAGGCCGGTAAGGCGGCGACGCCCGCTGCGCCCCTTCGTCCGCTCAAGCTGCGCCTCAAGGTGGGCGGCGTGGTCGTCGACGTCTCTCGCGCCGCTTCCAGTGCGCCGCGCGGGGAGAGCGGGGGGTGCGGGGGGAGTAGTGCTGACAGCGGGAGCAGCCGCGAGGAGCGTATCAAATCCGATGAGCGCACTGATTCTGATGAGCGTGTGAAATCCGACGACGCGGATATTCGTCGCAATTCAAAGGAGCATAGACGCGCTAGAAAGGAAGGTTCGCGGAAGGAGGGAAGGAAGGAAGCGGAGGGCGGTTGGGAGATGCATACACCTCCGATAGAAGATCGGCGGACGGGCGCGCGGGGGGGAGAGCGGACGGGCGGGGGGGCGAGTGGGCGATCAGATGAGGGAAAGGAGAGGGGGGAGGAGCGGAAGAAGCAGGAGGAGCGGGAGGAACGGGAGAGGGGGGAGAAGCAGGAGGTTGAGGCAGCTGGTTTGGGCGCGGAGGTCGGAAGGCGGTCGAATACGTTCCCGGCGCGCTTGAAGGACGGGGCTGGTGCGGGGAAGCGGGAGTCGAGGGATAGGAGAGAGAGCGAGGGCGGGCGGGGAGAGGCGATCAAGCCGAGGGAGGTTGAGATGGAGCAGGTCGACGATGATCGGACGGTGGAGCGGGCGTCGCGGAGGGACGGTTTGGACGAGCGCGGTCGGTTGCAGCAGGCGCTGGAGAAGGCGCGGAAGGTGCTGTCGCAGAGCAAGGTAGGCGATAATGTCGCAGAGCAAGGTGAGCGGTAATGTCGCAGAGCAAGGTACGATAATGTCGCAGAGCAAGGTAGGCGATAATGTCGCAGAGCAAGGTAGGCGATAATGTCGCAGAGCAAGGTAGGCGATAATGCCGCAGAGCAAGGTGAGCGATTACGTCGCAGAGCAAGGTGAACGATATTGTCGCTGCGACTGATGAACGAGAATGCTGTCGCAGGGAGAATTGTGTTTTTGCAGAGCAAGGTAAGCAAGGGTTCGACAAGCCGCCCTGATTGTTTAACCCCTCCCCCACCCCCCACCCCCAACCCCCACACCCTTTCCCCCTCACCGCGCTTCCCTCCCAGCAGGAAGCACGTTCGAGCCCTAAGGAAGCTTCCCCGTCGCCTGCCTCGTCGCCCTCCTCCCCAGCGACACCTGGAGTCGCCGCCACCGAACTCGCATCGCCATCCACACCATCAACGCCGTCGGCGCCATCTGCGCCGCAGGTGGGCAGAGCCGCGAGCTTCAAGCGCCCCGCGCCCCTCCGCAGAGCAGCGCCAGTGCATGGGGACTCGCGGGGCGGGGAGAGAACGGAGAGGGGTCGTGCGGAGGGCGATCGCGAGGGCGATGAGGGGCGGGGCAGGGGACGGGCGGGGGACGAGGAGGAGGAAGGAGGGAAGAGGAAGAGGCATGGGAGCGAGGAGAGGGGAGCGAGAGAGGGGTGTGAGTATGAGAGGGGGGACGAGAAACGACACAAGGGGAGGGATGAGAGCAGAGGCGAGGTCACAGAGTATGACAGAGAGAGAGGCAGCGAGCATCACCGTGAGTACGATCGGCACAGCCACAGCCACCGCCACACTCACAGTCACAGCCACAGTGACAGAGACCGCCGTAACGAGCAGCCCAGGCAGCAGAGGCAGGGCGGTCGCAACCGAGGCCGGGGCGCAGTGCAGGAGAGCAGCAGCCCAGGCAGTGCAGGTGGTGCAGCAGGGCAGCAGCAGCACCGCGTGTTTGTGGGCGACCTGGACCCCGCCACCTCTGCTGCCAAGCTCTCTGAGGCGTTCTCACGGTTTGGAGCGGTGGTGCACGCGCGCATGGTGGAGCTGCAGAGCTACGGGTTCGTGGGGTTCAAGCACCGCGCCGAGGCCGAGGCTGCTATCGCTGCTGGGGAGGATGGCCGGTCAACCATCGTTGTCAGGGGCCGAAGGGTGAGCTGCAGCTTCTGAATGTTTCGGACTTGCTTTGTGGGATAGGGTTGTGTTCTGGATGGCTTTCTTTGTCAGTGTTTTAAGGAGTTCCTACCGTTGGTCGCCTCTGTAACCCAGGGATGTCATTTGATCGTGTTAGCAGCACGCAGGAGGCCTCATATGCTTCCCCCTCCCCCTCCATTGTCCCCCCATGCCTCTCACCAGGTGCGGGTCTCGTGGGCACATGGTTCTCTGCCAGAATGGAAGAAGGGTGTTGGGGGGTTCTCCTTTGCGGAAGGTTCCTCAAAGCTGCAGAATGGCCGCATGAAGATGCTGGCAGCTACAGCAGCAGCCAGCGCTACAGCCATGGCAGTGCTGTCCGGTGCTGCCCCTGTCCCCATGCTTGCGGGCCCTGCTCCTATGGGTCACATGGGCTTTCACCATCAGATGGAGCCACATGGAAATGAGCACTTCAAGCAGGAAGCTCATTTGGGGACAGGAGGAAATGCATGGCGTACTGCAGATGCTGGCGTTGGTGCTGCAGCTGGTGGTAGCACTAATGGTGCTGGGTGGCGCTCAATGATTGCGTATGATGACTTGTTTTAATATATTCATTCCGTATGAATGTTAAATATCTGTTTGGACCAGATGGGGCTTGTAGTTAGTAATGAAACCATTCAGTGGTTCATATGTTCAGTGGAGCGATACCTGTAAATGTTTTTAAAACCTGCCGTGAGACTATATCGAACAGAATGTTCGTTCAGAACGAAGCCAGCGCATTAAGGGGTTGCGCGCCATTCAACGGTGCAGTCTTTGGTCCGTGTTATCTGTGCCTCCCTTTGGAACATGGTGCGACCTACGCTAGGCGGCCCTTTTTGCGCTTCGCCAATCCCGCCTTTTGTCGGGTTCCTCAGGCGGGGGGGCTGCTTCCGTCTCGCTCGTTCGACTGACACGAGGCTCGCACCGAACCTTGCTGACTGCCGCGTTGCACCGCCAAGCCCAATCATCTGCGTCCAGACTCCAAACCGTTTCCTTAGCTGTGTTTGTGTGCCCCCGCTCAATTCTGGACTGATATATGTCCCTCACACACCATTCCAACAATCTCAAACGCATCTGAATTCTGAATCCTAGAGTTCAAGTTCCTAGGATCAAAGATTCCATTCTTCCTGAGTATTGGGGTGTTCCTATTTTCTTCATTAGTTAATTTGTCTGTTCTAATTCAGACGCCATGGCTGACGATATCCCTCTGAAAGATCAGCTAGATATTGTCATTCCTACCATTCGCAACCTCGATTTCCTCGAGATGTGGCGTCCTTTTTTCGAGCCATACCATCTAATCATAGTCCAGGATGGAGATCCAACCAAGGTCATCAAGGTACCTTCCGGTTTTGATTACGAGCTGTACAACAGAAATGACATCAACCGGATCCTTGGACCGAAAGCGTCGTGCATCTCGTTCAAGGACAGTGCGTGTAGGTGCTTTGGCTACATGGTGTCGAAGAAGAAGTACATCTACACAATCGACGACGACTGCTTTGTAAGTTATTTCGTTCCGAGATAATCCCGGACAAATTCCTTAACAGTTGCAAGCACATTCTGATAAATATTGAACCGTCAATGGTGACTAATTTTGATATACGTTACTCGTCTTCCCGTACGTGTCCTATTGTCTACAGGTTGCCAAAGATCCGTCAGGGAAGGACATCAACGCGCTTCAACAGCACATTAAGAACCTGCTGAGCCCGTCCACGCCTTACTTCTTCAACACGCTGTACGATCCGTACAGAGAGGGGGCTGACTTCGTCCGCGGCTACCCATTCAGCCTAAGGGAAGGAGTTTCGACGGCGGTGTCGCACGGCTTGTGGCTCAACATCCCTGACTACGACGCACCCACGCAGCTCGTCAAGCCAAGCGAGAGGAATTCGAGGTATCTAATGCAGATGTGCCTCAGTTAATAGCACTCAGCTCTCTAGAATGTGTGACTAACTTGTTCTCGCTTACACCTGGCAGATACGTCGATGCGGTGATGACTATCCCCAAAGGAACTCTCTTCCCGATGTGCGGAATGAATCTGGCGTTCGACCGGGAGCTCATCGGGCCAGCCATGTACTTCGGGCTCATGGGCGATGGGCAGCCGATCGGACGTTACGATGACATGTGGGCGGGCTGGTGCATCAAGGTATGTGACCTGTTTCGAAAGCCCAAGAGGATGATGTTGGAAACTCTAGGGAATAGAATGGACAAACGGATAACATCTGCATTGCCAGTTCTAGAACGAACTGTCTGCTAAGCGGCTAGCCAGAACTGTAAGGCCGAAATTACCCAAGAATACTAGGTGCGCTTTTCCGCGAAGAAAAAAAAGCCCCTTCGCTTTGGTTTCCGCGTTTGATTCCATCATGTCAAAACCATGTGGCACGATGCGTGCATTTGGTAGTGTTCGTTGTATGATCCTCGGCAAGAGCGCCAATTGTGACATTGAAATGCTGCTTGATTTCATCTGGGTGTCCTTGATGCCCTTGCTCGTTGTTGGTCTGTCAACTCGGCCTTACTGAATTCCTTCTTATCTGCATCTGTTTTTCAGGTGATATGTGACCATTTGGGCCTTGGAGTGAAGACAGGACTGCCATACATCTGGCACAGCAAAGCCAGCAATCCGTTCGTCAACCTGAAGAAGGAGTACAAGGGTATCTTCTGGCAGGAAGATATCATCCCATTCTTCCAACAAGTAAAGCTTTCTAAGGAGGCAACAACAGTGGAGCAATGCTATCTGGAACTTGCTAAGCAAGTGAAAGACAAGCTCTCCTCGCTGGACCCTTACTTCACCAAGCTAGCGGATGCTATGGTGACATGGATTGAGGCCTGGACTGAGCTGAACGCAAAGGCTCCTGCCTCTAGTGCTTCTCCTGCCAAAGCAAAGCAAGCTGCCAAGTAGACTAGGTCTTAGACACTTGCACTACTGATTACCGGTATAACGTTTGATTCCAGTCAATCAGCGTCCAGCCTGGTTAATTCCAGCTTTGTTAAAACCCCATATAGCTGTGGACATGTTTCATTTATATCTGAAATCTGGACAACCGGCTTTCTTTACCCGGTTTTGTTAAATTCCTTCAGGTGCCTACCTCCCGCAGAACATCACACCACACTGTTGATCAGGAAACACTTAGGGGGAACCTAGCAAAAGCTGATTTCGAAGTCATCTCAAGTGCCCCTGAAAAGTGCATGGGTGGAAGGGGTGTTCCTTTTGTTGCAGAGAAGGTTGATATTTACCTGGACTGTTTAGCTACCAAATGTTTTGTTCCGTGAAAGAACATTCAGTCACCCACCCCATGCCTAGGCCGCCAAAACTGTCATGAAAATTAGGCTGCATCCGAAGTATATTTCCCTTGCTACATACCAGCTCACCTAATACTTGGCTGATTGATTCTGATATTTCAACCTCGACAGTGCAATCGCCTCCGTTACAAGGATGAATAATGCAAAGTATTGGCGGGAACCAGCGAGCCGCGAAGGTTTCGCGACAAGCGCGGGAGGTCCCCATGTGTGCAGCATCCTTCGTGTCCACGAGACGCAGGTTACACCGCTGCTTTCGCCACCACAGTTTGTCCTCCTGGTCAATTCCTCGTCGCCAAAGCCACCTCTCGCTCAGCTCGTCAATGCGACTTCGCCAACCAATCCTCCCAGTCGCTCGCTTGGAGGCATTTCGTGAATCGTGAACTGTTCTTTCCCTGGATATTAAAACCTAGCACAGGTGTGCTTCCCTTTCTGAGTGATAGTCTGCTATCCGAGCTTGAGGTCTATATTTCTAACAGTAACGAGTGTCACTGTTAGGTGGTCGAAGCAAGAGCTCGGTTTGAGAGCAGGAGTGGTCGAGGATGCAGCTCTACCTGTGTATCCCGTCCAAAATCGGAGTATAATAGCCGTAGCTCCTTTTCGCCCCTCCGCGACGATTAGCTGACGCGTCATGGCGTCCGCGGCACGAGCCGCGTTAGATTGCGTGTACTCATGGGTGGAGCAGCTACAGATTAACCATGTTGGAGCCACTCTAAGAGGGTCCCATGTCCGAACGTCGCGTCGATCACTTGCGAGCATCACGAGAGCACGGGATGCTTCTCTCAGCCGTTTCCCATCTGACACATGGCGAAGGTAGGACGATGACAGTGTCGAGTTGTGCTTCGCGTACCGTCGCTTGTTTTCTAGCTTTAGCCTCTCGTGTAACTGTTGTCTCCGCTAACCGACTCTGCTGCTAGTCCCAAGGCACTATGGATTTTTATTTGTCGCTCTCCTTGTTCGAGAGGACAGGTTCTGAAAACACGAGACGGTTTTCTGTGGCTCTCGTGCTCATAATCGTATTTCCGCCGCTCTTCTTTTCGCCGCGAAACGTATGTTCGTTTTTCTTCTCCCTTCCCCAGACCTGAGGTTTCGCGATTCTCTTCGCTGTGCACGCCCTCCACCGTCCATCGCCAAACGCCACTTCGCCAATCCGTAGCTCGCAGCGCCCTCGCCACGTCACCAGGGACGTCAGGTTCGCCGATAACGGCGGTGCCGGACCTGCCGACCGTGTCGGTGGTGATTCCTCTCTTCAACGAGGCTCGGAGCATCCCGATCCTGGTGGAAAGGGTCGGCGACGTGCTGAGCCGCGCGGGGTGGCCGCACGAAGTGATTTGCGTGGATGACGGGTCGTCTGATGGTGAGTGAGTGGCAGCAGGGCAGCATGGCAGCAAGGCAAGGTACCTTGAGGCTTTCAGCCGATGCTGACTGTCTTGATCTTGCTTTAATTGTTGCATACTCCCGCACCTCCTCCACGACTCCATCCCCCCGTCCCCACCCCCTTATTCCCGGTTTATCATTACCCTCCCTCCCCCCGCCCCTTCTTCCCACCACCCCCCCTTTCCCCAGGCACGTCGCTGCTGCTCAAGGCGATGGCAGCAGAGAGGCCGGAGCTGAGGGTGGTGGTGCTGCGCCGTAGCTTTGGCCAAACGGCCGCCATGGCTGCTGGCTTCGACTACGCTGCAGGTGCGAGCTGCCCCGTGCTGCCCCCTGCCGCCCCCTGCCGCCCCCTGCTGTCCCTTGCTGCCCCCTGCCGCCCCCTGCAAGCCATGCGTGCTTGCTTGTCTTGCATTCAGTTTGATTCCAAACGCGTCTTCCATATGCAGCCTCTCCCCTTCCCGCCACCCACATTGCCCTCCCATGCATGTATGCTGATCCTCAACGTGCCTTCCCTTCACGGCTCCTCCCGTTCTCCCTTCCTCACTTCTCCCTCGACCCGTCCCCATTCCTGCCCCACACAGGTGACTTCATAGTGACGTTGGACGGCGACCTGCAGAACGACCCATCAGACATTCCGCGGCTGCTGCGCCTGCTGCTGCTGGGCCGCAAGGGCGCCGTGGGGCAGGAGGCGGGGGCACGTTGGGTGGCGGGCAGGGAGCGCGACGGCGGCGGGTACGACATGGTGTGCGGGTGGCGGCGGGCGCGGAGAGACGACTTTCTCTCGCGCAACCTGCCATCTGCTGTTGCGAATCTGCTCATTGGGGCCGTCACAGGGGTATGCTCCCTGACAAGAACTCATCTCTCTGCTCTTGGGATGGGTTTATTTATTCAACTCAAGGGGTGTTTCCACTCCTTTCCACTTGCTCCATTCTGTTTTTGGTTTGATCCCTTCCCTGCTCCGCCCGCTTGTCCCTCCCCCTGTGCGCACTCCCTCGGGCAGGTGCGGCTGCACGACTATGGGTGCAGTCTGAAGGCGTACCGCGGGTCGCTGGTGCGCTCCATGCGCCTCTACGGCGAGCTGCACCGCTTCCTGCCCGCCCTCGCCGCCATGGAGGGCGCTTCCATTTCCGAGCTTGAGGTACCGGGATGTGGGGGAAGAGAGAAGGGGGGAGTAGGTGGAGGGGAAGGATTGGTTTGAAGCAAGTGCGTGCAAGGTCTGGCGTCCGGTTCACGATTCTGGTTGGGAGCAAGACTTTCCACATGTGTTGGTACAGTAACTCGCTCCCTGTGCATGTGCCCATGTACCTTGTCTCTTGTACCCTGCCTCCCTCCACCTGCCCACACCCGTTGCAGGTGCAGCACCATCCGCGGCAAGTGGGGGTGTCAAAATACAACCTCTCTCGCACGCCCCGTGTGATCGTGGATCTGCTCACAGTCGCCTTCCTCACCCGCTTCCGAGACCGCCCCATGCACTTCTTTGGACCCCTTGCCGCCCTCACGCTCCTCGCTGCCGCCGTCTTTTTTGTCCTCTTCTGCACGGCGGCACTCAAGGCGGCTGCGGCCTACGGGGTGGGCATGGCCATGGTGGTGGGGGCAGCGCACCTGGTGGCGTCTCTTGAGTTTGTTGTTGCCGGATTTGTTGTAAGTGCCAGGCTCACCCCCCAGCGCCTCACTCCTCACTGCTGCTGCTCCTTCCATTCACTAACTTGCCTTCCCAGTCTTCGCCTCTCTTGCCTTCTCTGTCCGTGGCTTACTGTGTTTTTGCGTGTGTTACTGTGCCCTCTCTAGCCCTTGCTCCCCATGTATCCTGTACTAATGTCTCCCCACATCATTCCCGTCTGTTCTGTATACCCCTTAATGCTCCCCCTTGCATCAGCTGTTTGGTCTAGGCCTGGTGGCGGAGCTGTGCATGAGGACATACTACGAGGCACAAGGGAGATCTGTGTACCGAGTGAGAGAGGTTGCCAACTGACGAGGCCTACGAGTGAGGGGATGATGACAGACTCGTGGAAAACTCATACAGGAGTGTGGAGGCTGTGTTGCTGACATTGGTTTGCTTCAGTGTAGAAATTACTTCATGCTAGTAAGTGATTTTTACACGGTAAATAAAGACCTAGTGCTAGCCTCATCCTGACATGACATCATATGACAGAATGCCTTATGTAGAAGCTTCAGCCAGTAGTCTTGGTGATAGCCCATCCTTACCATATGTAGTTTTTCTATATGCAAACTTGTATCCTCCTGCATTCCTCTGTTCTGTTGCTTCAGCGGCATAGCACAGAACATGAGATTTTTTATCAGCTCCACTCCACTTGAACAAATGCCTGCTGATAGAAACACAACATCTCTCTGGCCCAGGGAAGGAATGCGTTCATATTGAACCTTACAAGCGACTGATTTACACAGATGACATGGAATACATGTGCTACACTTATGTACAGAGGAAAACCCTCCGTCCCAACTACAGCTTGAGCCAATTTGCAAGGAGAAATCAGAGCCTCCTTGTGGTGAAGCTAGACGAATGCGGAGCTCCCCTTGTCTGGTACATGTTGGAAAACCCTACAGAGAGGGATCTCAGTAATCCTGTGAAAGAAAATGGAGTTTCCTGAGGTGGAGAAGAGCTGAAGAGTGGAGGGGCCACATTCCGGACTGTCAGTATCGTGGGGCCAATTTCCTGACGAATGGCCTCAATGATGCTGAAATCGACAGGGCGATTGGCGGAGTCAGTGACGAAAAACTCGTTTACCGCTTTTCCCCAGCGCGTGCATATATTAGCAGCAGTTATGGAGAGGTTATGCGTTTGGAATACTCGTGTGACGTCGCACAGCAAGCCAATGCGATCTCCAGTGCAGAGGTCAAGGCACAAACCCTGCCACAGCCGCAACACATCGTATCCAAGCCCAGTGCAGAAAAATAAAACAAATTCAGTACCCTGGGTTTCAATCTGGGAGCATATAGGAGCATATGTAGAGCGCCAGGAATGCAGCTCACCCTTGGGCTGCGCCGCAAAATAGCCGCTTCGAGACATTTGCCAACTCGCTCCCTCTCAGCCTCGGTGTCCAGCATCGACCCGTCCATGGTTCTGACGTAATACTCCTGAGATGCAGGCATTGAAGCAACACCATTAAGAACATACCAGAATGCATAGAAACAGAGAAGCACGGGGAAGAGTGCTAACCTGATGTGCGATGTCATTCTCGGACTCGATCGTTGCATGGTGAATTA